CATGACTCAAGATGCAATGAGACATTCAGAGACTCAAATGAAGTACGAATCTAACCATTTCCAATGCACTTTATTTAAGGACATGGAGGGGAGGGTGCCTGAAACCATACCTGCTGTCTGCAGTCTCCTTCCCTGGAGATGTTGCTAGTGTTCTCTGCTCAGTGTGTGGCTGAAGTAGTCATTTCATTAGGTGTTCCCTAGACATGAAGAATCTTTCTTTGTCAAAGTAACTATGCAAAGATAAGTACACTGGAATGATTTTCTCTATATCTTAGAAGACAATAAAAATTGTTCCATGTTGTGTAAGCTTTCATGTTATTCTATTTCACCAAGGGAAGTGTTAAAAGCCCTTTATTTTAGCCTTTAAAATCTTGACTAGACAAAACAATTTAAACCACATGTGAGAAACAAGCAAGATGTTTTAACTGTTCATGTCTCTGCTTTCTCCAAACAGCAAAGCTAAGAAAATCATCTGGGAGAAAACAGTGGAACAGGCTTCACCCTGACCAATTCTGGAATAAGGTGTGGTACATTCTTAGATATACCAGTCTACAAAAGTACTTTCCTACATTGGTTATGTTAATTGACATATTGATTTTTTTTTCACCACAATGACAACTCAAAAGAAAACCTGTAAACATATGAAAACTGGGTGCCAGTCACAAACTTGCACTGCTATGATGTCAGTAACAGGCTTCCTCACTAGACTTTTAACAGCAAATCTTTAAAACAACTTTACCACTTTTCTTCCTCATTCTTTACAGATGCCTGTTGTTATTGAACAATTTTCAGAAATTTTTAACTCTAAATAAATAGATATTTTATTGATCACTTAGCTGGTGCCAGGTACCAAGCAGACCTTTTCTCTTTAATCTCATGGAGGGGAATAAAAAACCTTATGTTATAGAGAAGGAAGCTGATGTTTAAAAAAGTAAAATAGCTTATCCTTTCCCGTATATATATGGGATTGAACCCAGGACCTTGCACATGCTAAGCATATGCTCTACCACTGAGTCATACCCACCCCCCTTTCTTCTTTTTTCTGATGGGGTTAAACTCAGATCTCCTAACATTTCATCCTCTCCTAACATTTCTGCTTGCCCCCAGAGGCCTCAGTTAATTTAGTATTAATTGATCTAGAACAGGAAGAGATTCAAACTCATAGAAAACAAAAAAGAATTTCTGTGGCAAGCAAGGAATTCCTCATGGAAACATCTCAGTCCAAGGATGACTTTTAGCTTACCTCTAGTCTCACCTCTTCCTCGCTTTTGCTCTCATTGGCACCTGCACTGCCCTTCAGGGTTCCTCTCTCTGGCCAGGGCTGTGGAGGGGAACCATCCTGCTGATCCCCACCATGGGTCCAGGTATAGATGGCTGCCTTTGAAGACAAGCACAAAAGCCCTTTTCATCTAAAAGTATCATTGTTAAGCACTGTGGGAAAAATGAAACAAGATTTGAACCTTGGCGAGTTACAAAGTTTACAAACTTCTAACAAGAGTGACTCCTGTTTTTCACAGATTCACTTGAAATGGAAATTGGCTTTACTTAAGGTGGAGTTCCCTTGTCACTTTCCTGCCTTTCAGAACGGGAGATGTTTTCTCTGTGGAATTCATGAGCAAATCAGGACTGATCATGTCATTAAGGCAAGTCCATAGGCATCTTCTTGTTCCAGGTTGACAATTTATATCTTTAAGAACCTTCAACTGAATTATATTTGGAAGCCTCATGCCCAGTCCACTAATGATCCTCTGTAGATATTTCCTCATAATTCCATAAAAGAAGAAAAAAGTTCAGCAACAAACTGTAGAAAGTAACTTCACTTCTACTCAGCAGACAACAAACCTCCTGTGCATGCAGAGAATGGAATTTTCTTTTCACCCATTTAAAACGATCTCCAATTTTCCCCTTGGAAGGCTGACTCTTGTTGAGCTAACAGGTTCATTTCTGAACACAAATGGGGGGCAGGGGGAGGAATGCAGGGAGAACTCCAAAATAAAATATATAAACCTTTTTGCCTAAAACAATAAAGTTCAGTTTAGTAGGTTTATGTTTACAAATTATGACTAGTTTAACGAGCAGAAAATTCAAGACCACATTGTTTTATCTATCATTATCTTTATAAAAGGTCAACCACAGATTATATCCTGACTTAACTGGTAGTGATTTTTGGCCCCCTCATGGTAAGATACCCAGTACATCTATGAGAACCAACTGTTTGGGCAATAAACAACTACTGTTCCCTTCTCTGGCTTAGTCCTCAGACGGCTCCCACATTGTCCATTTAATTATACTGTTGCCCTTCATCTTGTATCACGTTTCAAAGTCCCCCAGTATATAATAAAAGGAAACACTGAGAAGAGTGTAGAAAAGTATAGTAGGGCATGTGGGAGTGCAACATAGCCCTTAATAGTTGAAGTAAATAATAATTGAAACAATAGACTTTCTTAAGGTATAAGCTAGTTCTCCAGTTTGTCCACTGTAAAAATAGAAGGTAAGGTCAGATGATCAGTAATGTCCTACATGCTATAATTCTTCAATTTGATGGTAATTTGACTCAATTGATTAGATGCTGAGTGCAAAAAAAAAAAAACTACTGCTCTACTAGATCAGATGTAACGTTCGTTCAAACAAAATGTTGAAACGGTCATAATATTTTGGCTTTGAAAAGAAAAATATTCAGTAACTTGATTTGTCTGAGTTGGTTCTCTTTATTCCTTGCACTGCTCTCCTGTTGCTCATGTAGTCATAGGTTCTAGGTTAGAGCTTTACTACCAGTTATGTCATTAAAATACCTATTAGAGTTTCATTAAATTGTCTATTAATTCCCTTCCATCTAGATACTGTTTTCATAATTTAAATCCTGCATCAGATTAAGATGACTAATAGCTCACTAAGAACTTATATTTTGTGGATGTCATTAGTAATGAAACATAATTTGGGGAATGATAATCAAAATAAAAATTAATGTTACTGTTACTCATCACATGCACAAAACAAACCTAAATATTAAGTTGGTCAACATGTTGTATATAAATTGCTTTGTGTTGGAGAGTGTTTTGTTTTTTCAATCAATGGTCATCGTTAGAATAATCAGTGTAAATACAAGGCCAAATGATATGAAGTAGAAAAGAATAACCACTTCGGCCTTGTCTCCCATTCAGTTTCTTCCTACATGTTTGGTTTTAATTCCAGGGAAAGCAAATAACCACATGTGGTTCATCAGTCTGTGTTAGGCATTGGGCTTGTGGCTTTCACACAGTCTTTTTTCATTATATGTAATTAAGCTTTAGGAATTTTGATGAAAAATATTAATCATTGTCTTTAGAGGGATCAATGTTAATACTTTTGATCTCTTTAAACCACTTGATTACCATAAATCTGGTTTATTTTGATAGAAGTGAAAGTAAAAGGAAGAAGGAATAAAAGATAAACCAGGAAGAAGAGTCTTAGGTGCTAGAGGTCCCAGAGTCACAGGGTAAAGAAGGTAGAGACAAAGTGCCACCCAGTTCTAGGTCCAGCAGCCTGTGGCTGGGATGAGGATGGCCACAGAAAGACACAAAGTCAGTGGATGACAGCAATTCATTAAGCCATTCTCTATGAGACCTACAGAGCAGGTCAACAACGGGCCAGTCAAAGCTTGCATCACTTTATCAATGGAGGTGCTGATTAATTCACGTGACTCGGAGCTTTCCAGATCTCTCCCTGAAAATTGTATCTGCTCTTTAGTGCTAGCTGCCCAGGTATGTTACATTCCTGGAAGTCATACCTCTTCAAGACCCTTCAATTAAATTGGAAGTCACTACTGAGATATATTCAAAAAGAATCACTTTTAGATATGAAGTCAACTGTCATTATTTGTCTTTTCAGTCTTAAGTGTAAGGTCGATTTTCTCTTTAAACCACTGATGCTATGATTCCTCCCTGTTTTTATCACACACCTGTAAAAAGTCCACTTCACAAAAGAGAAGATAAGAAACTTTAGTGTTGTTTGTAAACAACTTGGTCTTAATTTTTATGATTCATTTAAAAATACTATTATACGTCTTATAATTACTTCCTCTTATGACATCATTATTTTGCTACCAATACAAATTAATCTTAACAGGCTGTTAGCTTGGGCAGGTATTCCCAGCATACAAAGTTACCATTCTTGTGTTATCTAACAACATATATGATTGTTCTACTTTTCAATATACTTAACTCTCAATTTGCAAACTATTAAAGGGTAAGTCATTTTATACTTCTGGTCCAGTCCGGTGTCTTACCCATGTTTCTGTGACCCGATGCCTCCTGACTAGACTGGAGCATATGAGAAGTCGCTCTTCACCTCCCACCCTGGTGCTGCATCACTAAGTGACTTCTGCCACCTTCTCTTCTCTCTTTATTTCTTCTGATTCTAAAAATCTTTCCCTCGAGAGATCAGAAGGCTGAATGCTTGGGAGTATCTCATTGTAAGTCTCCTTCACCTTTTCTATTTCTGTCAGCATGGTAATTACCAGGTGTCGTTTCAGAAACACTCATTTTTCTTACTCAAATGGTTATTTTTTCCTACGCTGGAGGTGTGCGTGATGGGCAAGGCCAACTTTATTGTTCACTGGTTCCAAGTGGCTGCTTTGAGATCAAATCACTGAAGAACAGCTGGAATGGGAGGATGCAAGATCAAAAGCTGCCTTTCATGCAACCTATCACATTTAAAAAATAATTATTTCAGTATTTCTAGCCCTTTTGTCATTGAAATAAAAGTGTTTTGAGAGTTCATTAAAAAAAAAAGGAGGGGGCATTTATACAATGGACTACTCAGAAACAATTGAAGGCATTTATGAAAAAATTTAATAATGCAGGAGCATCTTTATGATATATTAAGCAAAACTGAAAGACTTATTAAATATGACCTCAACTAGGTAAAGAAAAAGATTCATACCAAAAAGTGACAGGATACGAATCTGTCATTGTTATCATCTTAGTATGGTGGATAATTTGTTTTTCTGTTTCTTTAGGTATCTATGTATATTACCAGTCTTTTATAATGAACATGTATTCCTTTAATTATGAGAAAAAGAAAACTTTATTAAAGGAAAATTATCTATAAGCAACGAGAACTAATGACCATCATCATCATACCTACCATATTTTAAATACTTATCAAGTCATTCAACTTACCTTTATCATCATGAATCTTTATTACAAATATTGTAAAGGAAGTATCATTTCCATTCTACAGAAGGTAAAACTGAGATTCAGAGAGATTAAATAACTTTTTCAAGACAACACAGTAGGAAACCAGCAAAACTAAGATTCAAATACAAGTTTGTCCCTTTTCAAAGACCATTCGCTTTCTGTCATATTATTGAAGACAAGAATAATCCATGTAGTTTTTACTTTCATGTGTTGAAGAAATATAGAGAAAGAAAAATGGGAATCAGTTTAAAGATGAAAAAAGGTAGCATACACAGTTTGAAATTGAGCCAAAGTCTCAGGGGGTCAACATGCAATAAGAAACTTGATTCTGGGGGGAAAGGGTATAGCGCAGCGGTCAAGCACAGACGTAGGACACATGAGGTCCTGGATTCAATCCCCAATTCCTCCATTAAAATAAATAAATAAATACAAACCTAAATACCTCCCCTGCTTCAAAAAAAGAAAAAAAAGAAAAGAGAGACTTGACTCTGGCAAATAATAATAATAGTAATAGTAGTAGTAGTAGTAGTAGTAGTAGTAATAATAATAATAATAATAATAACAACAACATTCAATAAGACTTACTTTAGGTAAACCATCATAATTTATTATTAGATTACTTTTTTAACTTTAAGAAAATAAAAAAAATTATTTTAGAAAACTCCTTGTTCCTCATGAACTGATTTAGCCTATCATTACAGATAGATGTATTTAGAAAGAGGTTTCCTCTGACAGCTCCAGAATCAGATCATTTCTGGAAAAGCCAAGTCTGTTCCTTCAATTAAAGAAAAATACTTTGTCAGGGACCTAGAGGAGAAACTTACTTGTCATTGATTTGTGATGTCCTGAGTAAATTTCAGCCTCAGGCTATTATTCTTTCTAAAGTAGTCTGGTCTTTATCAGTGGCTTGAGACTTCCCAGATGTAAGGCACACCAGTTTTGCAAGTAACTGCACTTTCTTCTACCCTCTTATTTTAGTATTACTAAGGCAGTGTATGCATAATAATATTTTTAAATATTAACTTACATTTTTGTATATTAATTGGCATCTTTCAGGGCATAAGCTTGATGTTATGCAAAACAATTGGAAAATAGTGGCTGAAAAAGAGAGAGTTGCCAAAATTATTGAGCTTGTACACAAACAAGAATGAAATAAAGATAACACAAAAATTAATCTATTTTCAAAAAAGAAAAAAAGTAATCTGTTCTCTTAATGCTGACCGGATTCTGTATTCCAAACTGTTGGGTAAAAAGCAGGACTAAAAGTAGGAAACTTTTGAGACTGATTTATTGGGAGGCAATTGGTATTGCAGCACTAATCTCGCCAATAAGTATTCCATTTCTAGTCTTCAGAATAAAAGACATATTCATTCAGAATACTTATTCACTAAGTCGGTCAGTCACCACAGACTTACTGAAAGCTTTTTATGTCCTACAGAAGCAGTTTCAGATGTGCACAATCTATAGTGCTGCACGGAGCTCACCACCAGAAGGGTCCTGCACTTGTTTTAATGCTCTGCTGTTGTTGTCTTAAAATTCTTGAGAATTTTCGAACGAAGGATTCCATATCTTAATTTTGCTCTGGGCCCCCCACATTTTGTGCTAGGTACTGGGGAGATAGCAGGGAACAACAAAGACATCGCTCCCTTCCTCGCATCATTTATAGAGAGAATAAAAATATCATACAATTAATTAATAAAATGCTACTAGTTAACAAGATAGGAAAGTACAGAGTGAATATTGTGAGGCTTGGTAGTATTCAGAAGGTCTATTTTGCTGTTTAGAAAAAAAATGAAACACAAAATCTAGTATCAAAATAGTGAGGGACATATACTTCCATTTTTTTTTCCCCCATTGCTTCAGTCTTACCATGATGAGAGTTGAAATCCAGTAATTTTGTGGTTCATCTCTTCAATTCTGCTGAGCTTTATCTTGCAGTAGTTAATATACTTAAGGGAAATCTAGGACATTTCAAGCCAGAGCCGTATCTGTGGCTTTTTCTGTCTTTGCCCCTGCAATTCCTATTCACAGTACTTGATCTTGTGGTCAAATAAGGTTGTAATCTGGGGTTGCAGTTTTGGTAATGTTCAAAAGATGAGTCAAGAAGGAGCACTAGCATTAGCCTTGTCATGTGAAGTTAAAAAATACCTTATCCTGCCACAGCTCAGGGGAAAGTCTGAGCAGATCTGCATTCAGCGTTTTCAGCAGTTAGATGTTTAATAGTGTTTTGCATCTTTCAGGTTGTTAAGGGAAAAGAGATACTCTCAACAGACATAGGCCATAATCATTTGCTGCAGGAATAAACCAGAAAGGAAGTACAGGAAATCTTCTCAAAATCCTTGGCCTCCTGGTGCCCTAGAACAGCACGGAAGGCACCGTATCCCACGGAGAGAACGCTGCTGGGCATGTAACTCAACTTTCTTTATCTCTGTCTAAAGCTGCTTTCCAATCGATTGCTGGCCCCTGATGACATTCTTTGTGTTTCAGTCCCACCCTGCTCTCTGTGAGGACTTACGCTGGGATTCACCAGCAGAGAATGAATCCGATTAGAAAAGATTGACCAGGAAAGACAATCTCTATTTCCTCACTGTCTGGTGTGAGCACAACTTCTAGAAGAAATCCCACCACAGGCCGCCTCACAGGCTGCTGACCATCACACAGATAGCTGCCCTTGACTCAAATTCCAATCTCTGCTTCAAGCTAGGGCTTTAGGGTCAGCTGACCAAATGTGACAATCTTTGCACTGTGCTCAAAAGAAGCTTGGGTACGATACACTGTGCTCAAAAGAAGCTTGAGACCCTAAAAAAAAGGGAGGGGGTGTTACTTGATTATCCTATGTGAGTTTTAGGGAGCACAAAAACACTTGCATGTTTTCAAAGTTCTGTAGTAAAGTCCATCTCTCACTACTGTTGAGTGTGTGAACAGATGTGCACATATATGAGTGTGTAAATGAGGAGCAGGGAGGTGGGGGAGGAGAATGGAGCACATGAATGCCATGAGAAGGAAAAATCAAAGTATTATTTCAAGTCTTCAAACTGCCATGACAGTTTTTATTTTTCCTACATACATTTAAATCTTCTGATTTGCCTACTTGAGAATTAAGCTGTGTACATGATAACAAGAATTTCCACTTTTGAAAACAAAACGATTGGTCACAGAAAAGAAATCATACGGACCAATTCCAAAGCTCACCGATGAGCTGGTGGAACCATGCAGAGAGGGTTGCAGGTCACCTGAAGAAACGTTATGACCCAGCTAACATGGTGCTCATCTGGGACAGTGGTACATGATAAAGACAGATTGAATAAAGGGGACTTTCTAAGTGTTTCCCATTATTGAAAGTTTAAAGGCCAGAATGTCACTGGAATCTCCAGTCAGCTGTAGATTCTTGAGGTCCAATAACTCATACTTGAGACATTTAACTCCCCACGAACATTTCTTCATAGATAGTCCACAGCTTCTGAGTTCTGGACCCTCCACTGCATCAGCTACCTTTCAATCTGCTTTTCTCTCTGGTGAACTAACACCTCCTTAGACACTTAGCTTTCACTCCCCATGATTCAGAAACTGTGATCAGGGCAGGAGGAAGAAACATCTGCCTGATGTGATGACACACTTACTTGGCTCCTTTTCCAAACCAGCTTTTGAAACATGTATCCACATCCCAGTGTATCTGCAACATCAGTTTAAGGAGCATGACCGGGAAGTGGGATTAGGAGGGGAGAATCCTTGATTTTGAAAGTCAGAAAAGCCACAAGATAAAGGCAAGGTTTGGATCTATGCTTTGTTGAAAACAGTAAACCCATTGAGAATCAGAGGGATGGGAACCTAGAGGTTATCTATGGGGATTATCAGAAATTTGCTGTCTTGAAAGACAAAGCTACACACTCACAGACACAGAGAACAGACTTATGGTTACCAAGGAGTAAAAGGGATGGGGGAAGGGATAAATTGGGAGTTTGAAATTTGCACCTCTTGGGGAATAATAGAAAAATTACATATCTTGATTGTGGTGTGGTGTCATAGGTATATACATCTATCAAAATTCCTCAAATTCTACATCTGAAATATGTGTAGTTTACTGTACAGAAATTATAACACAATAAAGTTGTTCAAAAATGCCATGATAACTAAAATTTTTAAAAATCTAAATTATACCATTCATTGTACCTGACAAAAAAAAATGCAAGCCATTGAGTATGTAGGCACAAAACAAAAGATTTAAGCTGAATTTTTTAAGTGACAAAATTACTTAGCTTCTCTGAGCTTTGTTTTCTTTATATAAAATGTTTCTCAAAAAATGTTTTAACTAGATTTCAAAAGTTCCTTTCAGTTCATAATTGTATCTCTCTACATACAAAGCACAGCAATGTTTTAGTTCTAGTACAGGATTTACTTCCAAACAGGATTCATTGACAAAGTTTTGAGGAGCCAACTGCAGCTCCCTAGTTATCGTTGTGAACTTTCGTAGTTTCCTGTTGGAAATCCCAGTTTTACTCCCGGAAAAAGAGTCAATAAAATGTCTCATACTCTTTGGAGATACTGGGAAAAGTAAGTGAAACAAATACCGGAAATTGGTCATCTGAATTGCACAAGGCTCTCTGCTAAGACACGACTTCAACTACTGTATTTGCATGTCAAGTGGCACCACATTTCTCGTTCTCCACCACCACATTCTGTGAATCATTTCCAAGGGGAGAGGCCAGCTATGTATTTAGCCATCAAATATTCTCAGCTTCTGGAGTAGAATTTTCACTAAAGAAGTGACAGAAATGTGAAGTGGTTTGTCCCACCAGCCTTCATAAAATCTGAAAAATAGAAATAAAGAAAGGACGTTTTTAATTCAATAGAAGAAAAAGGAAGTATCACTTACATACTTCTAAGCAAAAGTTAAGGATCTTTTCTACTAATAGATTCATAATAGAACAGAAAGCTGAGGCGATATCTGACTCATGAAGGTCAGCAAGAACCTTTTTTTTCTTCCTTCTCAAACCACGTTGTTTGTAAAAAGCAGATTTTGTTATTTTTGAACTGTCCCCAGCTTTCATTCTCTCCCCATCTCAGTTGATGTTCATAACCTTCACTCTTAGTTCTCTCAGAGTCTGTCTTATTTCTTCCAAACAAGATCATCATCAAAGTTTAAAAGACAAACTTCCTGGCTAACCACCTCAAACTTTAACCACACAGAGAGCATTTCCACCCGAACTATTAACGTGACCAGTTAAACTAAAATATGGTGACAATTTTATTTAAATAAAAGTTCCTGAGTTTCATCTCAAGTGTCAACAAATCCAGTGTTGGGTTAGAGCAATATCCTGTCATCAGATTCCGTCTCTGGTAGATAAACTATGACTCTTCAGCTTGTTCGTGGGACAGCGGATTTAAACAGAGAGTTGACGGAGAAGAAAGGCAGCCTAAGTGAAAGAACACATTTTTTTCATTCAGCCTCATCTTCAGGATTTGGGGAAAACCATGTACCACCATCCATTTTCTCTACTGCCTACTCATTCCCCACTACCAGACTTATTCCTGTGATACTAACTCCTTTGCTTCTCTCTAAAGTACACATGCAGCCCTAGTACAGGGTATAGCATTGTGCAGGCGTAGAAAGCTGGTCTCCTACCTGAGTGCAGGGTGATGATTAAGAGCAGGCAAAATGCCTGCCTTCTGCACACACCCAGACACTGCCGAGACTTCTGGATGTCCTTCGTTGACAGTTGCCTGGGTGGACCTGAATACACTTAAGAGCCGTTGTCAACTCACAGCAAGAGAAGCTACTGACTGTGAATCAGATATTTTCTACTTGAGCTGGGAATAATCTTGTCAAGAGCCAAATTCTAGAAATTATTTGGAATATGGAGTGTTTCTTACATTTCTGGTTACACAAATTCTATAGTTTTGCATTATCAAGTCCTATAGGAGACTCAAGTGAACAGCTCTAAAGTCAAGCACACAGGATGAGAAGCACTTTTTGAGAGTTTGAGGAAATGTCAAAGTCGAGATTAACATATCAGTGGTTCTGTCACCTACTATCAAATTAAGTTTTAAGGTCTGTGTTTTAGATGTTAATTTGTGTATTATAAATAGTTAAGTATACACTGACAATTACTTTATAGCTAGTAAAATTGACTTTATGTTTTAATAATCTGTATTGTAAATTTTTTAAAGCTAATATATTCTCATGATTCAAAATTCAATAGGCAAAGAAGATCAAAGTAAGATTTTCCTTCCACACTTACACCCTTTCTACTCTGTTCTCCACCCATGCACCCCCTTTTCCCACCAACAAATAGTGCTGTCCCATTCTTGCCTATCCTTTCCTAGGTCTTTGACACAAATTCACTCATATATTATTTTCTTCTTTCTCTTTGAACAGATGGTGGCACCTTATATAAACTATTCTGTTTCTTCTTTTTTCCCTTAATATAGCTGAGAGCTTCTTTTATATAGGTTCATAGAGATCTTCCTCATTATTTTTTATGGTTGCATACCATTATATTACAGGAAAATATAATGTATTTAATCAATTCTCTGGGTTCTTTTTATTGAGTATAGTCAGTTTATAATGTGTTAATTTTTGGTATAAAGCAAAATGGTTCAATTATACATATAGATATATTCCTTTTCATATTCTTTTTCATTATAGGCTATTACAAAATATTACATATAGCTCCCTGTGCTCTACAGTAAGACCTTGTTGTTTATCTAGCTTATATATCAATCCTCTGTTTTGAATATTTAGATTATTTCCAATATTTTGTTACCATGTTGAATCATATGAAATGCTACAATTAATGACCTTGTATGAGTTATCACTTTGTGGATGTACAAGTCTCTTTGTAGGATGCACTCCTAGAAGTTGAATTGTTAGGGCAAGAAGTACATATGTTTCTAATTTTGATAGATTTCAGCAACTTATTCATCACTCAGCCTGACCAACTCTATCCTCTAAGTTGTTGACCTCTGTAAATGTTACATAAAAAAGTGTATCAGTATAATTTTATCTGCATTGTGACTGAGTTTGAGAATCTTTTCTTACACAAAGGAGGCATTTTTTATTTCTTTTTCTGCTAATCATAGTAGGACTCTTTAGAGTGTCCACATTTTAGTATAGCTTTATCAGGATATACAGTGCTTAACGTTAAGATTTACCTTTTGTTAGTTGAAGAAAGTCTCAAGAAATTGTCTTCTTCTCTGTCATGGCATGATTTCTATCACACATGATAGAATTAAGTTGATAAATGCATAGAAGCTTACATAATAAATTCCCCTAATCATAAATTCTATGCTACTGTAAATATTTTTTAAATGACTCTCCCTAATTTTCTTTCTTTTACTAAATAATAATGCTTCATTTCCATTCCCACAGTGTATTTTCTTTATTTGCTAGAAATATTGCATACTATTGTCTAAATTGTCTACTTTATCTCAAAACTATCATGAATTGTGTTTTCTTCATTTCTGAGTATTCTTTAGCCCCAAATCATAATAAACCTAAGAGATGCCCATGAATTTGGGGGCCCTGAAAGCAGATGGTCATCACTGCATGATTTAGATGAAAATAAGGGATTTGCAAATTTCAAAGGAGATTCTTCTGCCATTGTTGAGTGTCTAAGGACATTTTCAACTTTGCTGACTGGCAGTGAATTTGTGAAACTACTGAGAGAAAGCATAAGAGGGTATGGAGCTGAGAGAAAGGGCAAAGGGAGCTGGAAGGAAAAAGCCAAAGGGGAGGAATGGACAGAAGACTTGAGTTGGTTTCTCCTCACTAATCCATGTCATGTTCATGGTAGTTCATTTCTGTGGTTGAATCAATGCTCCTATAAATTTAAACTTGCTGAAAGTTACTGAGTGTGCTGAACATTGCCATTCTAACTTTTACTTTAGTTCCAAAAGAAATCAATCAGTCTGCCTTGTTAACAAATTGATCGGTAAAGTTAGTCAAATTATAAGCAGATATTTGCTAAAGGCTTACTCTGGCCAGCTTGGTTCTAGGCTATGGGGAGACAGCATTGAGTAAGAAAGAGAAATTTCCTGCCCTCAGGAAGTTCACATTCTTGTGGTATCAGACAGATTAAAAAAGAATATGAAAACAAAAAAAAATTAAGAATGTGAAAGGAATAGAGTAAAAAAAATACGGGGCTTCATAGTTAATAATTGATAAAGCAAAGCATTCTGTATTTACTCTTATGTTCCTGAGGTTTATCGAACTAATTTTCAAACAACTTTTCTACGTGCTCCAAATGAGTTCATTAGTTATGATGTTAGTAAAATAAATCACTCAATGGCCTACAAAGTGCAATCTACTACATTTTTGATCCTTCATGGTATGTTAACAATTTGTTAGAGTACTGACCTAACATATCACTCTAATAATGTAACAAAAAATTTGCATAAAAATGTTTGATAAGAATCCTTCCTTAGTCAAGAAATAGATTAAATGATCTAATGATATATGTTTTGATTAGCTTGAACAATGATCCAAATTAGACTAATACGAGAAAATAAATATAAAATTGAAACTTCAAAAAGTACAAATAAGAAATTTAAATAATTATGAGATGAGAGTGGAAAAGGGAGGAAGGCTTAGAAAAACTTTGAAGGGCATGAATTTGGCAATGGTCTAATTGTAAAATATGATTAATGAATATGACAGAATTTGGAGAACTTAGAAGTACAAACTGTTTACAGTCGTGGTCCAGGCAGAACTGCTGGCTAACTCTGTAACTGTTGAAGATTTCTCCACTGTTTTCTTACTTAATCTTCAGCCAAGTATCCATTTCCTTTTGCTCTTAAAGCCAGATTAATGACACTTTAATTTTTACATTATCTCTTTTCTCTCCTACCTGCAGTTTTAGAAGCAGGTTAATCTAGCCCACGAATTAAAATGCAAAGCAGGACAGGGAAAAACAGTAAAAAACCAAGCAAGAAGATTTGCGATGTGACGTCACATGCCCATGGTGTGTTCAGTATTGAAATATTCTTGCTCATCAATATGTTCATCTATTTATTCTCCTCTGTCTTGAAGGCAAGCACCACGAGAGGAGTGTCCTTTCCCATTTTGTTCAACACCTTATTCCCCAATATATTTCAGATTGCAGCGTATACAAAAAGTGCTCCTTAAATATTTGTTCAACCAACAAATCCAAAAATACCCTTAAATTCTAACTTAGATTTGCTACAGCTTAAAATTATTCTTTCCTGTTTAAACTCCATTTGAAAAAAAAAAGCTGTTTATCATAATAAGAAAAATAATTTCCTAATATTTTGATAATGGACTGAAAACCCACTTTATAGAAATGGTTGGTTTCACTTTAGTGTTACTAACTCAACTTAAAAATTCTTGATAACCAAATCCTTTATGAAGCTATTATTGTTAATAAGGGACAGAGGTCCTTATTTGTTTTATTATTTTTTTATTGTACTTTTTACTTGTTTCCACCCACCACATATTTTGAAAGGATTTGGAGCAGCTTTATGGATTCACTGGCATGTTTGTTCTTATTACAGTTATTAAATTCTCAAATTACGTAACCTGTTGCTAGGCACATAAAAGATCCTCAATACATCAATGAGATTAGACTGTTTACTCAGAAAAAAATTCTAGCTTGATTAATGAGATACATAGAAATAATAATTTAAAAAACAACTTTTAGAGTAGTTTTTTTCTTACGGTGCTTATATTGACTTTAAACTTTCGGAACTCTCTCACATACATGTGTCACACACATCAATTGGCGTCAACTCTCTGTGGGGTTCTGTCTTCCCTATTGCTTAATCCTGGCTAACATCAGCACTGAAGGGAGTAAATTTATCCTTCTAAAATGTTGCATTATTTCTAAAGTCCTAAGAGAGATTACATTTTGTGAAGCACAGAATGTTCAAACAGGGAGTGACTTGGTCATTTTGAGCTCATCAAACGTCTCATATCACGATTTGAGGTTACACTGTTTATAAAAAAACAAAAATAGACCTTAACTTCAGGAACTTCGATGGATTTCCTATTGTCGATATTGAGATTTTGCCTGGTCTTTGTTATGCTTAACAACTTACAAACAAATTATCATATGTACAATGATGCTACATGGAAATTGATGTGACTTTTAGTTACACAGACCAGTCAGTCTTTAACTGAAAATCTGCAAAAGTGATCATAATACAGAACATTATAGAGTGATAGTTGTAAAACAGAACACTCATGTGGCAATCATAAAAAGGAACTGGGGACTTTTTCTATACAGAGCCTGCATTTTAAATATGTCGACAGCCAGCGTATCTAAACAAATCATTTGTGTTCTGTCTCCTGTGTCTATTCAAAATGAGAAGGTCGAGGAAATTTGCCAGGGATTTTAAATAAGCCCTGCTGGTTAATGTCCCTATACCAGTACAAGCAACAGCTCAAGAGACTCTATTTCTGGTAGGTAGAAAATGCTTTTTACATCCAAAAAGGTAAATTCTCTTACATAAATTATACATTTTCTTATTAAAATATTTGAGTTAAAAAAAAAACCCTTAGAAAGTACAATATACAAGTGGTTATTTAAAAGACGAAAAGAACTTTGTGTGTGTGGGCTAAGACACTGTAAGTTACCAAGCGCTCCCAAAGTAAAACAAGAGCTTAAAAATATCCAACCACAGTGTACCATGCTCCATAGCTCTGCTCCAGAATGCAAACAAGAAGGCATCTCTGATAAAGATATCATGGCCTTACTGAATGCCAAGCACCAACATGCTAAATGCCGTATGAATATCATTTCATTCAAACATTGTAACAGCTGCCCAAGGATCATTCCCACTTTATAGACTGAGAAACTAAGGCTCAAAGAGACCAATCATGTAGCCGGTAGGAGGTGATATTTAAGATTTGAGCCTACTGCTCTCTGACTTCAGAGGAAGCTCTTATTGTCTCTATGCCCTGCCCCTTCCGGAGGTGATGTGGGATGAATTACTAGGCTACACTGTGTACACACATTTCTTACTGCACTTTTTGGCACTAAGTTGTCATCATTATTTACCTCTTGATCTGTTACAGAATTAGAATTCCCTAAGGAAAATTCTGCATCTTATTTGTCTCCATTGCCCCAGGACCATTCACAGCCTTATCCTTCTTGAAGCAAGAACTCAGTGACAGCTGAAATGAACTGAAAGGATCTGTTGATCTCGGATCCTGTAAGAGGGCTAAATCCAAAAGCAGATCCACGTAACACTTTGCTAAATAACTTTAACTTCCACATTACAGTCTTTAAAATTGAGCAAAATAATTAGCTACTTAAGAACAGCAAAATAATGAAAAATGAACACGTGAAAAATGTATGCATGCACACACACACCAAAAAACAACAAAACAAAACAAAACAAAAACCCTGAGAGGAATCTTTTCCTTTTGATGACAATGGATGTTTCTAGTTGGTTGCTAATTTCATAGCATTATTTTCCCTAAAAGGTACAATGTAGGTCTCCTAGGGGAGCAAGACAATATTTTGATAGATATGTAGCTATGTAGCCAAGTGTGCAAAGTTATACTTCATTACTAGTAAGCAGTTGCTCTCAAGTACAAACCATGAGAGAAACTGGCTATTAACCGAGGTGAACTTTGCCACTCCTGATTGTTTAAGCCAGAGGCCTCTTTCAAAGCAGTAATTTTCCTTTAAGGGGAGAACATCTAAAATTTAAACCAGAGTTTCCTAAGCGTGGCCCTTGTCATCACTTGACTTGCTTATTATATAGGGTGATCTTGGGTTTCTCCTCAGACATCATGAATCAGAATTTTCAGATGTCATGCTCCAAAATCTGTGCATTTGAAAAGCTCCCTCATGATTCTGAGTGATTCTGCACAGGAAAATTTGAGAACCACCAAGGTCTGACTGATCAACACCCCTCCTCCAACTAGTTCCTCTGTTCTTTGGGGTTGACGCTCTCCAATTTTCTGCAAAGGGTCTGAACTTTAACAATCTAAATGGAGTCTCAAGTTACAGTTCAAGGGGGAGGCTTTCAAATTACAGCAGGCTGCTGGTGTTTCTTTTGGAATGTTTGAATCCTTGCAACAAGTTAATTCCATCTCTAGATACTTGAGGGAAATTCTTACAGAATAACTTTTTAAAACTCTGTTTCTGGAACCTGGAAGAAACCCTACCAAATTCTGGTTTATCAGGCCCCTAAGACTACCTGGATTCTCAATCTCTGTTAGCTCCACACTGAAGCTGTTTTCCACTATCACCTAAGCATCCTGACATCATGAGATGGTTTCTTGCCCACAGATGTCTCATTTACAGATCCCTCTGGCCACCTTTCTGCCTTCACTACAATGTTTCTTTCCTGATGACCACTCCTCCCCCATAGGCAACCTGGAGCAGAGGCAGCTCATTCCACCACACTCCACTTCCTACACAATCTAAAGATCACATCAGCCTTCCCCTCATCTTTTGAGATTTGTGTTATCCGGCCCATGAATAGATCCCTCTTGAAATGCCTCTGGACAAATAAGTGGCATCATTCATATGAATCATTCATTTATTCATTCATTCAATGAAGTTTATTGAATGATTAAGATGTGCCATGTCCAGGGGGTAAAAAATGAATGATAGACCAGTAAAGGAGATGAACTGTAAGTAAATGATTATTTTGAATGGTGACATTATTATAATAATATATTATATAATACATGGAAGGAATTATTGCATCCAGCTAGCACCATAGAATTCAAAAATCATACCTCCAATTCAGATGTTTCTTCTGCCTTTCTGTGACAATTGCCGACTCGTGGAACATCTAAAACCAGTGTTGTCAATATTTTCCCCTAGTCTCCTTCTCTGGGTTTCCACAGCCCTCAGCATCATCAGGCATGCAGATCCCTAAATTAGAAACCATAGTATAAGGATAGAAAACTTAAATGGTTACAGAGGAGAAATAGAACCAATAAGCGAGTGGATTAGGGCAGTGGTAAACAACTGGGAATGGTGGAAACTGTGGAAAATCACAGCCTTATTTCTAGGAGAATCACTCCTTTGAACAAATCACTGCTTCGTTCCCAGCAATTACTGCAGCCCAGGAATACAGGTCCAGTGTTGTCACATCTTCCAATTTTTAATAAGAATCTGGGAATCCAGATTTTTGTGAGCAATTTCTTAATTTGTCTAACTTTATGCAGCCAATTAAGGATCACCAATGTGTGCGAAAAGCATTGGGTGAAAGGTTGTTAGGGAGCAGTACAGACATAGCATGTTAAAGTTCTCCCCGCAGAGTACTTATTAACTCCAAAAGGGAGAAGACATCTTCACGATGGAGAAGTCTAGTGCAGACCACTTTGAGCAAGCGATCAAACTTCACATCACTGATAACAGTAAGACAAACTGACTTATATACCCCTGCTCCAATTCAGTGAGAAGTCCATACGCGCCAGTCCCAAAAGGTTTAACCTGAATCTAATCGTGAGGAAACAAGCAGGCAAATGAAAATTAAGGGAATTCTCCAAAACAATGGCCTGAACTCATCACAAATGCCACAAAATGTTACAAAAGACAAAAAAGGTGGTACTCTGTTTTACATTAAAGGAGACTCAAGAGATATGACAGCTCAATGCAATATGTGATCATTAAACAGATGTTAGATTTAAAACATACACACACACACAAAACATTGTGCAATTGAGCAATTTGAATATAGATAGAAGAGAAGCTAATATTATTGTATTATAAGTAACTTCTTAAGTTTGATAATGATATGGAGATTTTTTTAGGAGAATATCTTTTTTCTTAAGACATAAATGCTTGAGTATTTAGGAGTGAGGTGACCTGATGGTTGAAATTTGCTTCCAGTTGACTCAGGAAAAAAAAAGAAAGAAAAAGGAAAAAGCAGAAGAGAAGGAAAAAAAAGTGAAAAACAAATGTGGCAAAACTAACAATTGATGAATATAGTAATATGGTATATATGATACAGGAAATGGGGCACAAGAGGATGGCAGTGTTCCAGGTTCCAGGTGAGTCCCTGGGACATGCCTCACGCAGGAGAGGATTCAAAAGCCAACCACAGTTGAAAAAAAGTAGATTTATTCAGAGAGATGCACACTCCACAGACAGAATGCAGGCCATTTCAAAAGGCAAGAGGAAGGCAGACGGGCCTAGGAGATACACATTCCATACATGGGAGAGCGGCGGCCTGAGCACAGGGCACACTAGGCCTAGTATTGAGTACTAGGAGAATGAGATCAGCCATGAGGTGTGGGGGTTGTTCGTTTTTATGATTGGGTAACTTCATATGCTAAGTGGGAGGATTATTCCAACTACTTTGGGGTAGGGGCTGGGATTCCCAGAAATTGAGCCACTGGCCACTTTTAGACCTTTTATGGTTAGCCTCAGAACTGTCATGGCACCTGTGGACGTGCCATTTACCATGGTAATAAATTACAGTAAGCGTATTGGAAGCCAAGTCTCCAGCCATCTTGGGCCTCAAGGAGTTTAATTCTCCACCATCTTAGTGCTAATTGCTGTGTCATTCTTTGAATGGCTGTGCCCTGCCCCCTTCCCTCCTGTCATATACATATAGGCATTCTACTGTTCAACAATAGTCCCTGTATATATTTTTTTTCAAAACAAAAAGTATCTAGAATCACAAGAAAAAAAGAAAAACACTTTGTTGAATCACTGTCCCTCCTCCAAAAAAATTTCTCCAAATGTATAAACCTATGACTGAGGCAGATTTAGTCTCTAGACCAACACTAGTCTGAACTGGGTTTAGGAGGATCCCTTCCTCTTCCTCATTTAGCTTCCAGGCTCACCCTCATGCTGGAACTTCTCAGTCACCAACTCACTGCTCCTAAATTTTCAATCCCTATTTCCCAGCCCCAGTCCACACCTTAAATTTCTAATTTGCTCTATAACCACAGCCCTTCTTCCTCCTCTCTCTCACCAATCCATGCTCTGTGCTCATATCTTTTTCTAAAACACAATCTGCTTAATCATCTCTTACTCTCTAGTGCTGGGAAGAAAGTCTAAAGGTATTTTCATGCAAATAAAATGACCTTCACAGCCAGTCTCCAGACTTCATGTGTCCTCCCTTCTCTTTGCAATAATATTGTCTATACATGATTCAAAAATTCTTACTCAGACACACCACATAATTGTTTTCTCTTGCTCAAGTGTGTCCCTCTGCTACAAGGATTTTCTTTCCCTTGTTAGTCTAGCAAATTCCCATTCAGCATTCAAAACCCCAATCAAAAGTCAACGTCCATAAATGTCACCCTCCCCTCTGAAAGAATGAAGAGGTTCTTCCTGTGTTCCTGTGTGTCTGTACTCCAGTCCCTGTTGTGTCTCTGTCTTCTCCTTCAAATTATTTGCTCCTTGAAAGCAGGAACCCAGGCTTAGAATGATGCCTCTTGCTTGGGAAATTTAAACAAGCATTTGATGAGTTCATTGTCTTTAAAACTACTTTCTTCTATCTGTTTCTATTTTAGCACTTTCTCTGAAAAAGCTCTTCTATTCAGAAAAGCTCCAAGATGGATACCCTGTGAGAGATAACTAAGCATTAGAATGTAATCAAAAACAAATTGACAAAGTGTTGGAGAGAATTACTCGCTTCAAAAGCAAAATTAAGTTTCTGGGCCTATCTTAGAGAGACAAGGAGGAAATAAATCCCAGAGCCAAGGCCTTCAAAGCCTGACAGAAGAGCTTTGCTGCTGCGAGGTGTCAAAGGCTTAACTTTCTTCGCTTCCAAATGTCTGTGCTCTCAAGACCTTTTTCTGTTTCTTGGGAAATTCTAAACATATTACTGTGGCCTTTTCAATGCAAGGGTCTGTTTCCTGTAACTCCCTGCCTCCTTTCAATTAAGATCAAACGGAATTTAACATTAAGTGGAGCCACAACTCTTTCTCAAGTTAATGTTAATTATAACTTTGGTGGAGGCGTTGCAGCTTGTTCTCAGCCTATCTGATTTTATGAACAGACAGGGGCAAAGCTTCAAGGAGACTGAGCATTCTGCCTCTATTATTATCATGTATGCCTGTAATAATACACAGGAATTTTTTCCTTCCCAGAAAACCTTCATATAATTATTTCTTATATTGAAAACATTAATCTTCCCTAGAAGCTAACAATAAAATTGCCTTTTGCTATATTCTTTGGTTAATTTAAAAAACTCAAATGTTCTGTTTTGACATATTTAATGTGAAATTTGCTACCTTACAAATATGATATTCAAATAATTTACTATTATGTAAAAGGATGATAACAATCTCTGAACCAAAAGTCCTGAAAATAATATGTGATATCTAAGTGAAGGCCGTTGACAAACATCAGAGGTAGATAGACATCATGTGAGTCAATATACATACTGTTGCCTTAAACCAGAGTTTGCAAAGAGGCAGGTGACTTACAGTTAAGGTTTGTCAGATAAAAAACAGACAAACAGATAAACAAATTGAAATTTAACTGGAAGTCCTGTATTTTTACTTGCTAGACCTGGCAATGCTAAATGTAAGCTGTCTTTATTTAGTAAATATACTGTTTTTTAAAATTCAGTTATCATTTCTTTTTCTTGATAGGAAGGTCTGGCAACACTGGGCTCACATCGCTGCATTGCATCAGCTGGAGCTGCGTATGCATCACCCATGCATCACCCATGCTATAGGTGATCATTTGCTCTCTAGTTCAATGTGGTCACCACCTGGCCCATTCCTGATTCCTGGATCCTGCAGGCATGCGTTTTGGACCCTGGTCTGATCCACTCTCCTTTTTTTTTTCTTTTTTTAAATGGAGGGATTAGTGTTTGAACCCAGGATCTTGTGCATGCTAAGCATGTGCCCTACCACTGAGCTATACCTACCCCCAATCCACTCTCCACTCTGTGTTTACAAACTGCGTAGTTATACACACCTATCAGCTGTGGCATCTGCACCTTGACCTTGCCCAAATTCCAGATGAGAAGCAGGTAATTTTATTAGAATGGTGCACATTTGTACTGACTATCCATTGCTGTGTCTCATAATATATACCTTAAATATACGAGTTATTTTTCAGATTCTCTACAGTTCTTGCTTTCTTTTCAAGCCCTCCAGTCAGTTCAGCCTCAGCCCTAAGCATTTTAGGTGAAATTCCATGCCATAGAGGAAAAGTAGTGGATTTTAATTGAGAATAGTGAATATTTTTAGTCCTTGCTTAATACCTAAAACAATCATGTGACTTTGAAAGTTTATTTGATCTTTCAACATCTCAGTTTTCCCATTTGAAAAAATATAGAAGTTAGACAAAATGACTATTGCTTTAAGTCTGTATTGTTGTTAATAACTGACAACTCTATAAAGTTAGTTTATAGTCAAGACTTTCTGAAACTCTAAAATCAAAGCATCAACTCCAGAGGCAAACAGCTAAGTAACTTTCCTGTATTACTGTAGAGTTTTATGACATTGGAAAACGTCTATTGTGAGACTTGCATAGCATCACTGCAGATTGCTAGGAGACAGTAAATGTTTTTACAAGCCTAAAGCCTTCACTTTTTCCTACTGCTATCTACTGCAAAAAAAATTTGCATAGCTACTGGTCCAAACATACTCCTTTTATTGACTCAGGGCAATAGATACAACTTTTAAAGATCTAAATTGAAGAAAAGCAAAAGCTGCTTATTATCATTTAATCCATTTAGCAGCTCAGTGAAAGGAAGGAGGGGAAGTTTAAACAAATTCCAACACGAAATGTCATTGGGGAGCTAACTCAAGCACAGCTCTGGTGGACAGATCTACTGAACACAGTGGGCTCTAAAAAGGAAGGAGGTGAAACTGTCTTCCAGACTGTAGAAACAAGACCACACTTGAATACACCCACTCTCTGTGAAAGAATTAAACACCTACCTCATTATAAAAACTTCCCTTTATGCAAACGAACCAGGTTGCTTCAACCTTAAATGAACATAATTAACATTCTCTCAATAGATGCACGTATCTCTCCCCAGAGTTTTTTTCTAGGTTCCTGTAATCATAGATCATTGCTTCTCAAAACAGCCAACAACAATCCTACCCTTTTTCCTACAATTAACTTTCAGATTTAAATTATTCTGTTGTAGAAACTGAAGAATGAGCCAGACAAACTGGTTAGCCATGGGACCAGGAAAATTCTTCTAAAGTTGATTAAATTGCTGTCTAAAAATATATACCTGGTAATAACATAGAATTAAAGTGAATCAAAGCAATTAAACTGAATGAAAGAGCATAATAGATGTGATCAAAATTTGCAAAAAAATTCAAGATTTTGCAATGACTCTATTCTGCCTATTATTAAGTTTTAAAAAAGTAGCAGAATACATAATATATCCCAGTTATTAGGTTCTTAAAATAGGCTATATGTGCAACATTAAATATTACTCATATCCTTACAAATCCACATAGATAAAAATTTAGTTATGATGCTGTTTTGAAACTAATATGGGGAGTGGTAATACCCCAGTGATAGAGCATATGCTTAGCATGCACAGGATCCTGGAGTCAATCCTTAGTACCTCTATTAAAAATGTAAAAAGAAAGAAACTAATAAGAGAAATATTAATGTAAGTGTGCTACTGCAAATAATACAAAATTATTGAAAAATAGTAGAGTATTCTAAATCTTAATCTGCCTCATCTCTATTTAATGAGTGTTTGACCACTCAGTATAAAAAGCAAATAAAAAATTTATCATCTCAATAGAATAAAGATGCCATCCATGTCAATGCACTGCCATTTCATGGCTGGTATACCAAGTCAGTAAATGTTCACAACACTTCATGTTGTATTTTTATATCTGGTAGTAGGCCCAGAAATGCTCTATAAAGGTAGCAAAAATACTAATTAATAAAGGTTAGAAAAAAAAATGTTGGAACAGGTTAGAGCAATCCAAGTAACAGGATAATTTAACAGGAGTGCTGAAAGTTCCATGCCCCTAATATGCCATGGAGGTACAGAGCATCTGGCATGCAAAGGGCTGTACTTAAAAAAACAAAAAATGCCTTTGTAAGATGCTTAACAAAGAAGCTTTCTGACTCCTTTTTTTCCTGAAAAAATTAGAATAAAAATTGTGGTTATTTTTAAATTAAATATATACAATTAAATATAGAGAGAGAGAGAGACAGAGATTTTAGAACAGTACTTGGCACAGAGTAAAAAATTAAAAAATACTACCAGTAACTATTACAGTTTTGGTTTGTGGGAGGACATGGCAAGAGGAAAAAGGCAGATGAGAAAATTATTTTTCCATGAAACTCTCTTTCATGAAAGCACAAAAAATGTTCTATGTTACATGGAAATAATATTGTCTTTTGGACCACCTCACTGGCAAGTAATTGGATTCTGACCTTTTTTAAGTTGGATGGAGAAAATGAGATAAGGCATTAAGAGGTGCAAAGGTGAAAGCACAAACACAACCAGAAATATACAATGGCAGAAGTGTCAGTCTCTCTCATTGGGGCTTTACAGACTCCATTTTCATACCCACATATACGTAATATTTTTTGTTAAATTTTCAGTGTAAGAGTAAAAAAATTTTTAAATAGGTTTATTTAGTTTAGGGGCTTATTCTTTTGTAATTGTCTACTTTTTAACATCTTTCAAGCCACACAATTACACATTTCAGATATGTCTAAGAAGTAAAATATATAACTTGTCCACTTTTCTTTATTATCTTCATGTGAGAAAATGAAGGATTTTATTCACGAGTGAAAACATTTACCATTGAGTCCCACTTTGTTTTAAATAGTGTGGAAAGCACTGAAAATTCAAAGATACAAGCAGAATGCTTATCCTCAATTGAATCTCTTAATTTATAGAGTGCTAAATTATCTTTATGTATCAAAGAACAGTATAGAAATTTCATCTTCAGCAACCAGAATGACATTCTTTATGTTGAATATTAGAGATGACTCAGAAGAAAAGGCAAAAAAAATTTTTTTTAGAAAAAAATGAAGTAAAACTATAGTGTACTACGAGACAAAAAATAGAAAAGATTTTTTAAAAAGGGAATTCAAGCTGACAGGTATGTTGAGAGTTAGGAATATAAAAGAGAAAAGAATTGTGGTTTTGATAATGATGTTTATTTAAAAATACATTTAAGAAGAAAAATAACAATCTCAGTTTTTTAACTTTGGAAAATAAATTATGAGAAATATAAGATGAACTATCCAGAGAAGTCAGGAGATTAGAATCAGACCAAAGGATATGTTCTGAAATGGCATATTGAAGCTTCATTCTCACCCAGTAATTTCTGTTGAATGGTGGAATGAAATGAGATCATCTTGGTAATTAACAACGGTGGAGCAAGAGGAATAGGCATAGTTCCCATGTGAGTAACAAAATGCTAAGTGTGTGAATATAGTCATCAGTCTGTGATACCATAAGAGGATTGTAAAGTTTAAAACTAATAGAAGTTATACATTACAGGCACTGCTCTTATAGAAATGGCAAAAAAAAGCAAGTCAATTAAGTAACATTTAATTGCATATATTTGTTTCCAGAGTTTCCACAGCAAAACACTGGTTAAAGGTTGACTAATTACATAAATACATTAGGATTTCGGAAGTACAGTAGTCTCCCCTTATCTGTGGGGGATACCTTCCAAGACCCCCAGTGGATGCCTGAAACTGAGGATAGTACCAAACACTACATACACTATGATTTTTCCTATACTTACATAGCTATGATAAAGTTTTATTTATAAATTAAGCACAGTAAGAGGTTAACAACAATAAATCATAATAAAATAGAATAATTGTAATAACATATTTTAACAGAATTTATGTGAATATGGCCGTTCTTTCTCAAAATATCTTATTGAACCATGCTCACCCTTCTTGTGATGATGAGAGATGATAAAATGTCAACCTGATGAGATGAAGTGAGGGGAGAGATGTAGGCACTGTGTCGTAGCACTGGATGCACTGACCTCTGACAATATGTCAGGAGGATGATCAGCTCCAGGTGATCTTGGATCATTGAGCCTTGATGTCACTGGTTGGATGTTAGGAGCCAATGACATGAAGACTGGGGAATCCCAGGGAGGACAGAGCAGGAGGGTGAAAGACTTCATCAGGCCCCTCGGAACAATTGAAAAACCTATGAGTTGTTTATTTCTGGAATTTTCTATTTAATATTTTGGGACCGAGGCTGATCTAGGATCTAAAACTGAAACCAAGGAAAGTGAACCTGCAGATAAGGAAGAACTACTGTAAGTTGTTTCCCTGCAAGGGGATTGTATCACTTTAATTAGATCTTCATATTCTAGAGTCTGAGCCTAGAAATCAGAGAGGAATTTAAAATTAAGCCATAGAAGACTGGGTTAACTAACTCAAAACAGACTGAGGTATAACTTCATGGCTAAGGTGTTTGTGTGTTGTTTATATTTTGGAACCAGTAAATATGTGTGCTAGAGCTCTGTTCTTTTCACATAGACTGGTCTCCATGGTAAATCAGTTTATGATTGGATGGTTGAGCACGAAGGAGGAATTGGTTATGTAGCTGAAATAGCTACTGGCACTAGTTTCCAAGAGTCTGAGGCCACCATCTACACCAAGTGAATAGGATGCCTGCCTTAACTCCCTGGTCACATGTCAGTATCTGACTCACTGAGATTTTATTTTCTGTTTTCCAGCTAAATATCTCTTCAGTTTTAGCTTTCCATACATTTCACAGTTGATTATATTTGAGTTTACTAGACATTCCAGTGAAGAATGTTTTTGTTTTGGGTATATTCAATATCTTTAGCTAAAATTCAAACCAACTTTTTTTTACTCCCATAGATAACCACTCTTACTGAATAATTGTGGATTTTACCAGTTTAACTCTCAGAGGCCATCTTTTTTTCCTAATTTCCAAGTGCTTGGAGTGGCATACATTCTTTATTTTTGGTTGTGCAACAAACTTTCAAATAGAATTTGATTGGGGAAAATAAAGTATACATTTTTTCTTACTTAGTTAATAAAAATATGCTACATTCTACATACGTTTTACACTCTACTCCACAAAATATCTTTGCATCCCTGAAATCAATGTACCTACCTACTGGGAAGTAGTGAAAATGCAAATATTAATGACTAAAATTATATCCATTCATGAAGTAGATAGTGGTGCCATTCATAGCCTACAGAATTTCAGTTAAGGAACAGTTTGGGGGGAATGCAATTAATTTTATCTTGAACATGTTGTATTTTGCATTCCTTTCAGATGTCCAAGTATTTTCCTGGAGATAGTTCTGAGCCTAAAGGAGGGAATTCTTGATAGCAACATATGCTTCCCAAAGACCAAGCAAGGATAAAACTTGTCCCTTTGTTATGACTATTTATCTGATCAATGATCACATGAGAATGTTTCTTCCTGAACATGCAGCAGAAATAAGATTTCATTGGGTGGAAGAGTAAATGGGACATGTTTGAACAGAGAAGACAAGAGATTTTTTTTTCCAAAAAGTTTGGCTATGAAGGGGAGGAGAAAGAAAATCAGGTTGTTACTAGACAGAGGTTGAAGTGAGAAAGGTTACTTTTTGTTTGTTTTGAGTTCTTTATAGGAGATACTTACAGGCTTAAATACTGAATGAAAGCCTAAAGAAAAGATGTTGAAGACGCTGCAGACAGTATCTTAAAATATTAACATTACAAATATTTGCACAGAGACTAGACAGATTGATGTCATTTTATGCATTACCCAAAGCTAAAACAAAACTATGTGATGTTATCCAAGAAGGGTGGTTTTCAAAAAAAAAGACAAAACCAAACCAAACCAGAGCGGCAAGCATGATAAACTCAGGAGAGTCACACACGGGCTCCAAGTGTCGGGGTTGGAGTTGTTTTATTGTGCCAGGATGGGTCTCTACACTATCCCCAGGTGCTCCTCTGGGGGCATGGGGCTCGCTGAGTGCTCACGGAAAGTCAGGAGCAGAGCTCTGCACGTGCTGTGGGAGTGGACTGTGCTTCAGTTTGGTCTGTGTACCTAGATGATTCTCACCCACCTTGCATAGCTATCCGAAGAAGCCTTTGATACCCAACACTGCTGTATGTTATATATGCGAGTTGTTAGGAAAGTAAATCATAGGCATTCTCAACACAAGGAAATAATTTTTTTTCTATTTCTTTAATTTTGTATCTGTATGAGATGATGGATATTCACTAAAATTATTGCGATTATCACTTACAATGTATGTTAAGACAAATCACTGTGCTGTACACCTTAAAACTTGTACAATGCTCTGTATCAATTATGTCTTAATAAAACAGAAGAAAATAGAAAAGAAAGAAAGTTAAAGGGAATAAGTGACAAAAAAGGAAACAAAGAAGCCGTTGACTTTGACTTCATACTTTTGATTTTCTAAAGAACAGTTATCCATATTTAAAGTTTGGAATCCAGATATATGAAGATATTAAAGGCAGCAGAATTCAAGAACAGCTAAGTACAAGTTAGATTATAGTTTTGGAGAAAGAAACCATGCAAAACCTTTAAAAAGAAAGCATTAATAGAAGAGAGAGAGAGAGTTAATGATGCATAAAAAACAGAAACGATCTTATTCAGCTTATAATATTTTTATATTTGAAAGCTCCCAAAAAGCTAAGGATAGTTCATCACAGGCAAAGCTGATAACTATAAATAAAAACTGAAAAAAATCTGCCTAGTCTCAAAGACAAGTATGTATTCAGCTTGCTAAAGATAACAAAATTCTTTGACGGTGAAATGAAACCTTGGCAAGAAGTTGCAGTTGGATAAAATGACCACACAAATTGCAAAATGAAACACGGAACAAAAGATGGCACTGAAAGTGTTAAAATGTAACATGGAGTAGTGTTCATAATGGTAGGCTCAAGAGAGCAGTCAGGTTGCAATACCTGAAACTGTTGTAAAATTAAAAATGATAAAGCTGGTAAAATTTTATATTCAATTTTTCAATTCCTTTTTCTTTAACCATACACTTTAGCCAGTTTAACATATTCTGTATCAATATTTAGCTTTGGGAAACCCAAACAGATATATAAGCACATGCTTCATTTATTTTGTGTTTAGGAACTACTGGGGATCAGAACAATCCTTGCAAGTAGAGCAGTGAACCCTTTTACCTTTTGCTAAAGGTAGATCAGACTAGCGTAAACTTTGTTTACACTGGATAACTTATGTGGAAAAATTATTCTTATTTCCTTATAGTATGGAGGCAGGAGTTTGGTTTTCTAAATCGACTCAAATTATAGAAGCCACAACGTTCTATGATTGTATAATTTTTTAAAAACAGTCAGAGTAATCTAGGTAAATTCTCCTTCTTACATATAATTCATATTGTATTCAGAGTTAATGGCTGTGGATGTGATTGCTGGTTTCAGTTGCAACACTTTATAAAAGGAACTGAAACATTCATAAACATTTTCCTCATTGTCTTTTCTTTTTCCTAAAGTAAAACTAAAAATTTATGACAAAATTGTAACCTTTGCTTAAAACAAAACAGATAAACCTGAGAATTTTCTTAGGATACCATTGATTCATCCTTTTTTTACCTTCACGAAACAATTTGACAGAAAGAGGATATTAATAATGCCTTAATTCCTATAGGGTACTTTTTGCTTATTGACTGATTGGAAAAGTCAAACATGATGCATGCTTCTTATATAAGATTAGTTATGTTTCTTAGATAAGATTACCTATCAAGAAAAATAAATGTTTAAAGAGCAAGTACAAATTTCTAAATGACTTGATACCTTCCTCTCATCAAATAAGATATCATGAGTATAGTAAAAATATTAAAAATATTTTAACACAAAAATAATCTCTTAAATTATCTTACTTATCTCATAAAATTATCTATGAATATCCGGTTACAGTGTTGTTCGATTATTAAATCTTTAACCATTACAAAATAATATTAATATCATTCCAAATTTTCACTTTATTCAAATTAAAGAGAAATTAAAGAGTCGCCAGATATTTGTACAAGTTTTCATACTGTGCTTAGAGTCCAACCTAAATTTTTATGATAGAAAAAAATACCATTTTTCAGTGATTAATTTCATATTACAAGGTATGGTTGAAACTTAATTATATTTCCACAAGAATCAAAGAAGTTACTCAACAGAAGCAAGTTTTAAATATTTAATCCATAGTGAGATGTTAAAATTATGGTATTAAAATGTGTCTTGAATTTTCAAATTGACAGTGGAAAAATTTATCCCAGACAACAGTTACAGAATTTTATTGGGTTTTCAAGATCAGCATAACCAATTGCCTAAATCAAATGGCTATTTGATTAAAAGTAAGAGTGAGCATAATTTTCTCCCCATCCTAAATCTTCTCTTTGTCATTTGCAAACAGCATGTCTACTTTGGAAGAAGATCTTTAATGGGGCCATTTGAACTTGATGTAGTATATCAGAATTATCTGAAACCTCCTCCCCATTATAAAATTTGGAATATATATTTGGAGTAACATTCTTCCTGTAAGTTAAAATTGTCAATAGGCATAAAGTATCATATTTTGTGATTTCGTATATAAATTTCTCTAGATTATGCATGTTCCAAATTTTATTTTTAAGTAGATTTTTAAAATAATTGAATGTATTTTTTCCATACAAATGGTAAGAGCTTATTTTTAAGGAAGAAAAAAAAGATAACAATACTGTTTCTGGGCGTGTGGGTATAGCTCAGGGGTAGAGCACATGCTTAGCATGCATGAGGTCCAGGGTTCAATCACCATAAAAAATACTATTTCAGAAGTGTCAATAAAAAATAAGCAAAGGATTGGAAAGAAAAATATAATAATTTATTATGAACAGTGGTTCTGGAGGGAAAACACGTGTAACTAGAGAACAATTAAGAAGATGTTTGTAGAGGAGACAGTGTTACATTTCTAAGCACAGTAATAGTTAATTTCTGATTCTCCCTTTATGATCTTAAATTCAAAATAATTACTAGATACACACACACACACACACGAAGCCCATGTACATTAGCAAATACATCCTCCATTCTTAAACCTGTCTACTAAAAGAATCTAAAGCAATGATACCCCCAGAATTGCTTGAAGAACTGACTGATTCTGGGGCTGTATGGGCAGAGTTAAATTTGAGCCCTGACGTCTTGTGGTGCCAGAAAGTAAAGAAGTGCTCAAGAAGTGATAGAGATATACAAGTAGGACACAGAAGCCAGCTTGAAGGGGAACCAGAGGCCAAATTTGGGACAACTTGATTATCAAATTAAGACTGTGACAAATGAATTTAACTGTATTACAAATGTAGGACATAATCTCTCTGAAGTAGATGCAGAAAAAGGAGCTGACCTAAGTAACTTTGGGAAACAATATTTTGACTGGAAACTGTAAGGCTAAAGACAAAAGAACTGAGCGTAAGTGTTGTACTCGGCTATGCCATGTGGAAGAAATGTACACTAACATATCTGTGATCTGAGAGGTCCCAATACCTGGTAAGTTAAATATAAGAAAACACAAGCCTTTGTCTGCAACTAACTAAAATGACAGGTACTAGCTTTCCTAATATGACCCAACTCAACCCAGTGAATTCTCATTGCTCCCTGGAAAAACAACTCCAGAAATTACCTGATGATCTGATGTCCTGTGTTAGTCTTGGTCATTGGGCTGGCCTAACAAGCAGGATGTCTGCCTGGAAGAAGAGCTTCAGTTGCTTTTGAGACCCATGCTTTGGAATCCCACATTTTGGTATCCTTAGAAAATCTGGCTGATTTATGTTTAAGTGCCTTCTCACCTTA